GCGGCGCCGTTAGCGGCCGCCTCTCCGGTCCCCCGTGCCCGCTCCCGGCGCAGTCCGCCTCCGACCGGCGCTTCCACACCCGGGCGGAGGCAGCATCGGCCCCCTGGCCGGGAAGAGGGCGGCGGGCGGTGGACTGCGAGCCCGGTGCAGACCGCGCCGCGCGTGGTGATATTCGAGTTGACAGTGGGAGCTTGCGCTTAGTAGGCTCTCGATGCATTTCTGTGGAATTGTTTTCCCTGTTGAAGGAACATAGAGAGCCTAAGGGGAAGGGGGTCGCCTTGGTCTGATAGGACGTTCGTGATCCGGGTGGTGCTGGATCGGGGGTTGGGGGGCAGGCCACCCGAGACCGTGGGGCAGTTGCGCGCAGCTCAGGAAAGGGGGCACCGGCCAACTTACTTGGGGCTCCATGGCTCCGATTCAGGGGTCCTCAAGGTCGACGACAAGAGGCTCTTGGATCGGGAAAGTGACTGGAGCACCTCCGTGAACATGTGATTTAGCAAATGTTTTTACGGTGACAATGGTAGATTTCTTCTGGATGTTCTTTGGTTCTGTTTTATGAGGTTCTGTTGCTTTTATAGCAGCTCTTCTTCCACTTCCATTCTCCGGGGTTTAACCCGAGGTTGAACGGGATGCGCAGGCGGGCGATGGAAGACCCCTCGGCAACTACTTGGGGTTCTAAGATTCTCGGATGGTGGAATTTGGGCATTTAAGTAGCTGAAGCGAAGTGAATTTCTGGACAGAGCCGAATTTAAAGAAGGATGCTAAGGAACAGTTTACACATTTTGGCTTGGTTCTGAACTTTGAAGGCCGGGGGATTGGAGTTACAAGGTGATTTTGACATTTTCTTTTGGCATTCCAACCAAAAGGTGCCCCGCAGCTGAACCTTGTCAATTATCCTTTAAAATGTATGTATGTGTTTGATGGTGTTTTTCCAGTTTTGCTGGAAATTCTCATAGCTGCACCTTGAAATTCTTGTATCAGCCTCTCTGTCTGCTGAAGATCTTTTCTTCAGGTTTCTCCATCTATAGCGGTGGCTTAGTTCTTCCCAATTTAACGTTTAGGCTGAATTGTACTAATATAGTTTGCTACTGAGTTTTATTCTACAAGATTAATAAGTAATTCACATGCTTTTTTTTTTTTTTTACCTTGCTTTTAATTGTTTCTTTACAAGGTCATGCAAAATTGAACCACAAATTCTATAGAAGCTTTAAGGTATTTTAAATGTTGAACTGGGAAGATGTTGGTAAGCTAGCAGCTCTAAAAAGCAATACTAAAATCAGGTTGAGTTTTCTAACAGTTGAGAATATTAATACCAAATGCTTAGTTTAATTTTAATAATCTTGTATTTGCATAACACTCTTGAGAATGGGTTAGAAACATAGAAAATGTGTACCAAGGTTAGGCAGTGGCAGTCCACAGAATCCACCTCTCTAACAGCCGGTGAAGGTTCTTCGCTTCACAATCAGCAGCTAAAAATTGCACAGCTAGATCTTTAATCTTTTAAATATTTCCTTAATAATATATATGGTATCTTACTAATTCCTCAAAATTTACAAATCAAAAGCTTTTTTAGGGACTACTTAAACATATTTGAGAAAATTTTATAGACCAAATTTTTGCCCTCTGATATAATTCGTCAGAGAAAACATTTCTGCAAAAGTGTTAATATTTTCGGTTGGCACCTTCTTAGTTCTTGAATAATTAATGAATAATTACATTTTTTTTCCTCCCTATTGTCCTTGAATTTTACTATTCGTCCTTAGAGAGAATGTACTGGCACACAAAACAAGTCGCCTAAAATATTGAAACCTAACACCTTTTAACATTATATTAGCTTTAGCTTCTACATTATTCACCTTGAGACTTATCTATAGCATATCGGTGGTTGTAAAGGCTATCCCCTGTCACCTTTGTTTAGGATGGACTGTTTTCTCCATTTGTAGACCTAGGGGACAACAATGCTTAATGCCTACAAAGTAGTGGTAATACCTAAACAGAATGAGAATGGGAAGCTTGGAAAAAATACCTGTATGTATGAGTCACAGTTCTAGAGTGGAAGAGTAGACCATGGAGATGATTATTTTGTAGATCTGGGAACCAAGATCCAGAGCAGCGGAAGGGACGAAATTGCTAGTGATAGAGCCAGGGTTGATGGAAGGTCTCTAGAGGACTCTAGTCCAAGGTTTTTCTATTTTATCACATTCACAGCATTTATTTCCAAAGCATTCTAGTGCCAAATATATATGGTTTTTGGATTATTTATAATGTTCCCTTCTAAGGATGTGGAAGTTTGAGTTGACTAATTTTATACATGAAATGATTTAACATTGGATGAGCTTTTACTGAAAAGTTGAAAATGATATGCTGCATTGTTGGTGAAAGTGCTGCTATTTCTCTGTCATTGGAAAAAGACATTGTCATATCGATTAAAATATTAGATGAACTTCTTAGTGTATGCTAGTTTTCTATATTTTTAGCATATTTTTATGCTAAAATTTAATTGCATAAAGATTTTCAGAATTCAAAAGGGTCATATTTGCAAGATGAATTATACTTTAAAATATTATTTTCAATAAGTGTGGTGGTGGTTTTGTTATGTTAAAATGCATTCCATTACCTTTAAAAAGAGCAGTAGTATAGTTACATGATAATTGTGAAAACATAATTTCTATCATAGTTGTAATAGAGAAAATCTAGGTTTGTATCTCAGCCAGATAATAACATTATGATCTCTGGCAAGTGATTTAACCATTGTGTATTTAGGTTTCTTCATTTGTAAAGTGAGGGGAATACCTCATAGGATATTAGCACATAGTAAGGGTATAACAAATATTAGATATTATTTTTTATGGTTCATTAGATACAGATACAGGCACTTTTATGCCCATTTGTTTCCTTGCTATTAACGAACTCGCTGTGAGTCTACAAAAAAAATTTCCTAGGTAAATACATGATCTAATAATATAATAATAGTCTGCCTTAAGGGGCAGTAGTGCAAATGATGCTGTCATTTTTCTTCCTCCTTTCTCTGTTCACCTTGGTCCGTTAATTAGGTGGGCATGTCAAGTTAGACTGGATGTGTCTGTTTTAATGAATGACATTGGGAGACCCTTGTAGTTTCATTATTCAGAGCCAAAATATTAATAATTGATTTGTGAGTATTCTACTGAAAATACAGCGAGTTCTAGAGGCCTACTGAGTAAGCTTAGATGAGGAAACCAGGAGTTTTAAGGTCTGTTACTAATTGCAACCCCTTTCTGCCAGTGGAACCGTGAGATCATTGAACCTTGCTTTCTATTAAGTGAATATTTTGATGACCTCATTCATTAAACTGTTAGGTTTTAGTGATAAAATTTGTGCAACAACAATTTTGTAACATTTTGTTCTTTTTAATTTGCTATAACTCAGGTATAAGCAGTATTGTGAACATGTGGTTTAGCAAATGTTTTTACAGCGACAGTGGTAGATTTCTTCTGGATATTCTTTGGTTCTGCTTTATGAGGTTCTATTGCTTTTATAGCAGCTCTTCTTCCATTTATAGTCCTCATAATTTTGATTCTCAGGCATCTTTGTGGTATTTCCTTCTCACAACATCCTTACCTCCTGTAACAACATGTAACTTCTTACCACTTGTCACGCATGAGCCTATTTTTTATGCCTCTTTTTAAACATTAATTTCAATTATTATTATGATTTTTAAAATTTTTTTCCTCTTCTTTTTAATTCCCACTCCCCCCCACCCCCCTTCCACCCTTGACCTGTGGATGTTGCTATTTCCCCTTAAGAACTTGATCTCTGAAGGCGGGGCATCTCCTCCCACAGGCTCCCGGCATTTGCCCCTGGGGTACCTGGCATACTGGGGTATGGTCCGTGGCTCCACCTGGGGTGTGAACCTGGGGTGTGAACCGAGGACCTTCTGCATGTAAAGCAGATGTGCTAACCGCTACACTATGGAGCCACCCCTAATTTCAATTATTTTTAAATGTATATCCCATAGTATTTTTTAATTGCTCTTATTTTTAGAGTTTCATTAAAATGAATTTATTTTACTGGTTAGAGATTAAAATCAGAAACAAGTTATAGCTCAAAAGCATCCTCATTAATGGCAGTAGTAGATTCTTGCTCTATTGTTTTAGGTCTCAGGCAGATATTCTGTTGATGGTACTTCAGATGGTAAATTCATGGGTCATCCCTTTAGTCTGAAGTAATAATGCTAGCTGGGCTAAGCGAGGTACATGGAGCCATCAAAAGTTTTCAGGGTCATATTATTTTTTATAACTGATAAAGAATTTTAGTGTTTGAGAGTGACCAATTCCTAATCTTCATTTGATTAACTATTGTAATAAAGATTATGGAATTATTAAAATTTATTGTACATTTTTGGACTCGACATACTTTTAGGAATTTTATAGAACTTAGACATACAGATCTTTAGGCCTATTAAATAATCTAATTATGCGATATTTAGTTAAATATAGTTTCAAAAGACATCAGAAATACCGTGTTATAAAATTCAACCATTGCTCAATTTTTCTTTAAGTTGGGATTTTCTTTATTCAAAAATAATTATGGCATTGTGAATTACCTGGTACTCATATTTAAAATTCATAGAGATATGGACTGAGAGGATATAGACCATGCAAACTACTTAGCTTCAATGTAGATGTTAGAGAATAATAGAGAGAGAATACGAATCATTTGCTTTACCTAGCTTAATAAATTCTTCATCTGAGTTAGCCAACTATCTTACTTTTAAGGAGAGGAAAGGGCTTTTGAATCTGGTCAGAGCGGAAGTAATCTTGAAGGGTAATTGGCTAGACTATTGATTCATGTAGTGTTAGGTAAATTTATATCTGAGTGGTTTAACTAAAAATTAGTTGCCTGGCTTTATTCTATATGTAGGTGAAAAATTCCAAGGAATGACTTAAGAGAGACCATAATGACACTATTGCCAAATATAGTGTAGTGGAAATATATTTCCACAGGTTCTCTAACAGCTGATAAGCATTTTTCTTATATGCTGTTTAACACCAAAATTAAATATACCTTTGCTTTGATGAGATATACAGTAATCTTTTATCAAAGCTAATAAGAGGAAGCAGTGATGATCATTTTGAAAAAATTATTTTTGAAACAGGCTTATCTGCTCTGCAATTGTCTTCAAATTATGGCTTCCTTATTTTATTTGAAGACTACTATAACAAGAATAATATCCAGTCTTTTTATTCTGAGCAAGATTCTTCAGTTAGCGGTGGTCATCAAGTATATGATATGCTGTATTTTAAGTAATTGAGAAGGATAGATGCTTAAGTGATACGTGTATTTAAAATGGAACATGAAAGATAGAATGATGGAATGGAGCTGAACTTTAAGCCTACATATATGGTGGGTAGCCAGAGGAAAGGAGAGCTAAGGTGAGAGAAAAATGTTGAGAAAAACCAGGATTCTGTGGGAGTTTTTTCCCTGCATAGATCCTGCATTCTATAGATAAGCATGTTTTTGTATTAGGAAAACTGCTAAAATATATTCTAAAACTAAATGATAAACTTACTAAACATTAAATATAATGCGTTGGGAGAAGTCCAAGTATCTTAAGGGTTAAAATCTGCATGTAGCCAAAGGAGAGCTGATTTATCTAATTATTTAGTTTTTTACTTTCATTATTAACATGGAACAACAGTCTAACCTCATTATATTTCAGGTGATTGGTACTGGGACCAGTTTTTATTTAACATTTTTTATAAATGATTTAAAAAACAGACTGGCAGTAAAAGTTGCCAGGTTTGCAGCTGACAGAAAGTTAAAAGCCAAGCCAGCAAGGAGAAGCTACAGGAACATTCTTTGGTGAGTTTTCATGTAGCAGGGAACAAGATAATGCATTTAGGAGATATTCCAAATTATATGTCTAGGACCTGAGTTATGACTCAGAAAGGGGATCCAGAAGTCATGGAGATAACTTCCTTGAAGGTATTTGTTGTAGTTGCTGCTGGGCTGCAAAGTCCAAGAACCAGGTTGGGCATGGTTCTGAAAACAAAAATGATGATGTACATAAAAATAATTATAAAAGTGGTTACCATTTTTGACTATTATGTTCCAAGCTAAGTGATTTGTAGTCATTCTTTTATTTAATTCTCTTAATTCTGAAAGGTGGGTGGCATTATCCAATTTTATCAAAGAAGAAATTTGACTCAGGGAGGTTAAATGACTTTCCCAAGTCAGACAAATATGTGGTAGAATTGGGACTAAGGCCCTAGTCTTTTGACTGTTTATCCTAAATGTTTCCCAGGATAGTAAGAGGCACCTTTTAAGACTTGTAATAGTTTAATTTAGGGTTTATGAAGTGTTATTTTACTCTCTTGTTGTAGCCGCTTTGGATGTCATTTCCATGAGAGAGAGTATCTAGATATTTTCAGAGGGTTTAGAGACATTCCTTAAATTCTTGATTAAAAAAACAATCCTGATTTTTAAGGAACTAGGGATATTTTGGTGCACAGTTTTACTCTTGAGATTGCTAAATCAACACTGGCTGCCCATTAAATGTTTCTCCTGTTGACTTTATAAAATGCTGGATCATTAATGGTCATTAATAAAGGCAACAGTTAAAAAATATATATTGTTTGGTAGAATAAGAGTCCAGAGATCTGGATTCTTTTAGTGGTGTTAAATAGTGGTGTGAAAACATTCTGATAGCGATGAAACAGGTATACTGTTCTTGCTCTGAGGAAGGGAAGCCATGAACTGTGCCTTAAAAGATGAGCAGGTTCATGAAGAGGGGTTACAGAGTTCTGGGCAGAGAGAATATAGCAGTATATTAGATGAATCACTGAACTTTTTGAACTACAATTTCCTCACATTTGAGTTAAAGTATTAGAAAAGTATTTTACATTTCACTTATAAGGGCAGTAGCTGCTGTTTATAATGTTACACACACACACATTTTATATTTTTTGATTTTGAAATCCCAAAAAATGAAGTTCTTAGAACCAAGTAAGCCTGTGTTAAAGTGCTTGGTAAATTTTTATTTATTTATTTTTATTTTTATTTATTTTTTTAGGCAAGGCAACCCTTGATTGACCTCACAGATTGCAAGGACCTTGTCAGCTTACAATCCCTTATTTTTTATTTTTTACACCTACAGCACCTAGTCTTCCTAGGTGGTCTCCCATCCAAGTACTTACCAGGCCCGACCCTGCTTACTTCCAAGATCAGATGAGATCGGGCTTGTTCAGGGTGGCATGGCCATAGACAGTGCTCTGTAAATTTTTAAGAGCTCTAGCAATAAGAGTGATAGAGAAATACTGATGTTCTTATGAAGGGTGGACAAAGAAGATACTGTGAAAACAGGTAGCAGGAGGAGAAAAATATAAGAGGAGAAACAGCAGAAGTGGGGAGGGGACGTGTTAAAGATGAAAGGAAATGGATGTGAAGAAAATTGAATTATAGTTCTCTTTGTGCCTGTCAATAAAAAGGAGAGTAATAAGTCTGTAACTGAAAACTTAATATTAATTTATTGTAAGGAAGAAACTCAGCAAGTAGTTGAAACATTTTACTCACTTTTCCATTTAGTCTGGACTGACCATGTTAATAAATAAGCTAAGTGAGAGTGGCTATATTGTCTGATTGTTTCTTCACTCATTACTGCTGTACAGGTTTAGCTAACAGTTTTAAATAGTGTAATGGTGCTCATAAAAAGAAAATAAGCTGGACTGAGTTACTATTTATTCTAGATTATTAAAAATGAAAAGACATATAGTGTGTGTAAGGAGAAAAGTGAAGTTTGGTCTGTTGAGTACAAATGAAAATTAGGAAATCAGACTAGGTAAAATGGGAACAAATTGTGAATAATTTTGTATGCTATACTAAAAGTTTGGATTTTTGCTTTATAGGCAGGAAAGTGACACAAATAGTTTGGTGTTTTAGAAAACTGATTATAGCAATAATAAAGAGAATAGTCTGGAGGAACAGATTGGAAACATTTGTTCACCAAGTAAGTAATACATATGGCAGGGTGAGTGAAGGAGGCAGTGAGTAAATGAGGCAGTCTCTCTGGCCTCTGGTAGGTAGATCACAGTCAAGGATGCCGTTTAAGTCTCTGCCCTACTTTAGGAAAGAGATTTTGATTGTCTGAATTAAGAAATTGTAGTGGGGATAGAAACAAGAGCAGATTGCAGAGCTATTTAGGAGTTTTAAGTATTCCAGACTCGGTTAGTGTTTGGAGGTGATAGAGAATGAGTCTAAGGTTCCTGACTTGGCAGTAGAATAATGTATATAAGTTTACAAGAGAGGGGGGAATTCTGAGTTTGCTTTCAGGTAAGTAGTTGTGCTTTTTAGATATGTATAATACCATAACCTATATATTAGTTGGAAATATGGGTTTAGCTTAGGAGCATGGTCAGGTTTATAGATATGATTTGGGAAGCATAAAGTTTATAGTTGAAAGTTATGAAATTAGACGAGTGATGACCATAATTCCTAAGTAATAATGCATGCAGAACAAAAAGTAACTGCCAATACTGGCACTTAGTTTGGGTGTGTAGACTTTTTAAAATTTTTTTAGTAATCATAGGTTATTATTTTTTTAATTTATTTTTTACGGTGATATTGGTGAATGAAATCCTGTAAGTTTCAGTTGTACATTTTACCAGTAAGGCATATATATATTTACATTGGGTGTTCACCTCCTATAGTTAAATTTCTTTCTGTCACCACATATTTGACCCCTTTTACCACATCTACCTCCCCCCTCCCCCCTTTCCCCTACCCTCTGGTAACCACTAGTTTATTGTCCATGTCCATGTGTCTCTGTTTGTCGTGTTCATTTGTTGCTTTTAGGTTTATATCCTACATATAAGTGATAATGTGATTTTCAAAGTTTTCTGTCTGACTTATTTCACTTAGCATAATTATCTCGAGATCCATCCATGTCGTTGCAAATGGCAGTATTTTAGACATTTTTTAATATTTACCTTTTGCCCACCTCCAGTCAAACCACAACTCCTTGGTCTTACAAGGAATACTTAGAAATATTTGCTGCCAGAAAGCCAGAACTACTTTAGTGTCCTTGAGACAGTGTACTTCATCCTGTCTGGCCATCCAATACAATACAGGGAATTCATAGATACAGTTCCTTATTCTTCACATTAAGTCTCTTTTTGAAATCCTGTTTGGTTCCTTGGGCTGTGAAGTAGGAATACATACTGAAGCCTAAAGGCTTTTTTCACCTTTAAAATCTAGTCCAGAGCAACTCTAATCAACCATTTCTTTGCCTCTCTTGCTCTCCTACCCTTCCAACCCTATAGAATTTAAGGCTCTGGAAAATAGAATGCACTCCAAAAGAGAAAAGTAAAAACAGCACAAGAGAAAGACCCTCGAAGAGGACTATAATCTTTTTCAATTCTCCTCCAAAGGTTTTCTCTAAACTAGGGAATGGATTTGGTGAGTCATTGAGAAGAGATGTCCAAATTCAGTAAAATAAAAACATCTTTTAGGAGCAAGATTTTCAAGTGCTTAGAGAATTTGGAAAGAATCTGAGGTGGTTTAGCACTTGTGGAAAAGATGAGTTTTTGGTTCAGTTTTAAAGGAGGTAGAAATACAAGTCTGTGCAGCGAAAGGTAAGAATAACACTATTAAAGAAGTGGGAAAAACAGTACCAAGGAAGTAGAACATTAAGGAAGAAAAAGCAAAGGAACTGGTAAACAGGATTCCTTATCTAAAATGCACAGTTTAAGTTGAGATTAATGAGAAATTAGGGTAGTTAGATGATTGAAGACTAAGATTTGGATTTGGAACTTTTTGAAACACATGCATAGAAAATTGAACACAAACAGAGGAGTATTGTAACAAGACTTAAATGGCGATTAAACACTTAAGGAAGATGACAACTTATATATAGTTTATGATATATATAGCACTGATTAATTTGTAAACTACCTAAATCTCTTACATTTTTTTTCTTATTATGTACTTCTATAACTGTGGAGTAAAATTATATTCCTGGGCTTAAGAATTATATGAAACTCTTGTTTAAAATATAGATTCATCCATGTTACATGTAACAGTAGTTACTTCCTTTTAGTTGCTGACTAGTATTCAATTACATGGATATACTGTAATGTAATTATTGTGGAAAGGGTTTCTAGCTTTCATGTTATGACTAAAGCTAGTATGAACTTTTTTTTTTTTTTAAGATGAGGCAACCCTTAGTTGACCTCACAGATTGCAAGGACCTTGTCCACTTACAATCCCTTATTTTTTTATTTTTTACGCCTATAGCACCTGGTCTTCCTAGGTGGTCTCCCATCCAAGTACTAACCACACCCGACCCTGCTTAGCTTCTGAGATCAGATGGGATCTGGCTTGTTCAGGGTAGCATGGCTATACACTGCTATGAACATTCTTGTGCAGGGCTTTTTGTGGCACACATATTGTTGTGGGTGACGACCTAGAAATGGAATTGCTGGGTAATAAGATAGGTTTATGTTTAACGCAAGAAACTGACAGAACAAATTCCAAGATGTGTTTACCATTTTACCCTTCTACCAGCAGTGTTTTTTCTTCCTTTCTTTTATAGAAAAGTTTGTGTACAATTGATGTTCTTCCTTAAATATTTGATAGAATTCACCACTGGGTTTGGTATTTTGTTTTTTGTGAAAAGGTTCTGAATTAAGGATTCAATTTTTAAAAGAATAGATATAGGACTGTTCAGATCTTCTGTTTCTTTTTATGCCTGTTTTGGTAATTTGTGTCTTTCCAGGAATCTGTCCATTTCATCTAACTTGTCAAATTTATCAGCTCGAAAGTGAATTATACATTTTATGAAACAGTATTTCCTTTTAATGTTAGTA